GTGTGTGTGTGTGTATATATATATATATATATATATATATATATATATATATTACACATATTTACAAACACATTGCATTACTTTTCAAGTTTTGAGGGAAAATTCCAAGGATTTCATGTGGCCTACAATGTATATACAATTTCTGAAGTTAATTCAATATTTTCACATACAGATCAGCAAATTGCACTATTTTTTCCCCCAATTTTTGTTCTAAATTTTACAACAATTTGTGTCGCTGTCAACTTTATTTATTTGAATTTCTTTTGTCAACAGAATTCAAAGATCATGAAATCGTAGGACCAAATAGAAGGAAATTTAGGAAAATAACTGAATAAAGAAAACAATTTAATATATTTCCAATACAGCAACACTATTTTTTAGTTTAATAGTCACACACACCCTAGTTCCTGTGACACTGAAAATATATACACTTCATTTATCACCCTAAATGATGTCTAGAGCAAATATAGTGTCAAGCTTGCACATACTCAGACCCTGTAAAGCAGAAACAGATTTCACATGGCCAGCTCCATTCCCTGTCTGCCTCCTGTTTTTACCCTGCGAATTCGACCAAAATATGGACTGGACTTTGAACTGACATAAATAACGCTTTTGCACTTGAGGTTCTAACGACATCGTGTATTAACAAAGTCCTGTGTGTGTACTAATTACAAGAATATTATAATCTTCACATTCTTTTTCAGCTATCTTTAAAAGTATATCGCAGCATATATAGTCATAGTTAAATGATACTAAGTCATCTGACTGACACAAGCGTTTTTAGAGTGCAATATAATGTTAATATAACGTAATCCATCCCGAGTTTTCCACAACCCTCAAACCGAGTGCGCTAAGAGGCGAAGCACTACCTTCTGGTTCCCGGAATACTTCCGTGGCTCGCACAAGTATGTGTTAAGGTGACTGTTGTGGAGAATTATTCCTGAAGGATGATGTGGCACTTTCATACATAAACTTAAATTACTAGATCATATTTAACTGATATTAGCAAGAAAAACATGACCAAAAAGACAAGTTCAACAAACACCGAGCACTATCTAACATAGTTGTCACGTCTCCCTCTCGTGTACAATGCATTCCTGTGTTCTTCCGCGGGTGAGAAGGCCTTTTCAAGGTCCAGACTACACATGATGGGAAAGGTGTTCCGGCTCGATCAAGATTCTCTGCCACAAGTTAGCAAAATACGCGCCATGTATCACGAGAGCGGATGGGAAAACCCGTGTACACGAATAAACAAAATCAGAACATTTATATTATTTTACGAGTGTGTACCAAATGATAAAAACCAGCAGCATTAATTGATTTCCGAACAAATTGTTGACCATTTCACACATGTAAGCACGCCAATAACTGGTTAGACAGTTTAGTGTGTGTCATCTGTCTTAAACTGTTTTTAATTCGGTCACAAAATTAAAATTCAGGCGACTGCAGTTTCTCAAAATTCAATGATAAACGAGAAAAAGCTGACTACTATATTGTGTGCGCATGTAGCCGTTACGACAGTGACCTCTAGTGGTGATACTCTCCACTGCACTCACACACTGATCTATAAGCTGCTCATAGAAGGAAGTTCATCAATTTATTAACGCATCAAATCTTTCAAACTCAAACACTAAGATGTAGGTCTACAACACCCAGAACAATTATTCTCAGTTTCCTTCTATCACTGCAACTCAAGCTGAAATAATGGAGTTTAGTTTTTTGCTGTGGACAAAAAGTATTTTGCTTAGATACATATGTACATACAGAAACAAAATAAGTTTTTTTATATTACAAAATAAGCTTTATAGTGTATTATTTACCTTGTGAAGTCACATCTGATAAAATGAATCATCTAATTATTGCTTGTGTAGAAAACATTTTGCAACACATGAATCTAAAACCACTCTTTAAATGTTTAAGACAATAATTTAATTCTTGTTACTGTAAAATTTCAATTTAAAAACATTCGAACTGTTCTGTGAATGTAAATTCAATGTGGGGAACAAAAAACATTTATTTATTTTGATTATTTTATTTGCTCATTTGTTGAATTTCAACGTCAATCTGTTTGAGTGTGTGAAATAAGACCTCTGGAAATTGCTTCTTTTAGTTTTTCTTTTTTTAATCAATATAAAAACGGTTACAAGTCCATAACTTCATCCTTCACAGTTTTCCCAGTGGCCTCCATGTATTTCTCCTGTACACTGAGAGTTCTGAGATAAATGGTTAAGGACAGAAATTAATAGAATTGTGTTAACATAACGACAGCAAAACAAAAAAACAAACAAAAACAAAATTATACAGTATGATAAGGATACGTGCTGAACTGGAAGTCTGCTCCAACAGCAGCAGACATCATGGCCTGCAGATTCCTCTCCTCCAGGTCTCCAAAGCAGTAGCCATTAGCTTTGTCCACAGTTCTCAGAACTTGCATCATGCTTTCCTTGTCCTGTAGAGAGAGAACAATGGTCAAAAAACAATGTCACAAATCCACATGCATCTCATTATAATTACAAAAGTGAGCACTAACCTGTACGTTAAGAGGTACAAAAGACACCAAGCTGTAGTCCTGGATCACTTCAGCCAACTTCACATTCAGGTGGTGAAACTTTTTGAAGAAAGGGTCTGAGGAGAGATGCTCCACCAAATAAGACAAGTCCAGAACCTCAGTGTAGAAGTCTAGATTGAATGCTTATATTAAAAAAAAAGAGTTGGTATTAAATTAAAGTAATTCACAAATCAGACTTTCTGCATCAGTCTGGATTATATTATCTTACCAAGTTTGCCATACTGCTCAATGAGGTCCATTTTTGAGGGCACATTGACATGTGGCAATTCAACATGCAGCATGGTGGACAGGGAAGTACACAGTACAGAGATGAACTTGACCGGATCAGCACAGTAATGGGAATCCACCAGATGTACTGCAGTTAGCTGCCAACATCAGATGAAATCAGACAGGAAATACATCTTAATAAATCCGACAGAAGTACAAGAAAAGTTCCCACCGACCACTTACCCAGAAATTCCACTATGACAGCTGTGCAAATATATTCTTCACCGAATTATGGTGAGTGTAAAGTTCCACCTGACCTGGGCAGTCAAAAAGGAAGTAGTAGCCGTGGTGGTGCTTCAGCTTGTTCTCTAACCAGTCCATATTTGCCTCTAAGTATTCCATAGAGTAGATGAGGCCGCCATTGGGGCCAAGTTTTAGACCGTCCATCACATCATCCAGAGTGACGAGCTCGGATATGTCCACAGCACATGGATAGGGCAGCCCTTCATTGGCAGGATCCAGGTTTACAATGACCACCTTGCGTCCGAGGTGGCTGAGGAACTCTTGCATGCCCCGGCAGTAAGTGGTTTTACCTGAGCCAGGTGGACCAATCACAATCTGGCCAAATTGTAGAGCTGGTTTTGATGACGTCATGTTGAAGCAGGTTCACCACTATGCAAATGAAGAAACTAAGCTACATCTAAAGGAGAAAAGGAGATTTAAAAAAAAGAAAATATATTAATTTTTCAAGTTAAAAGACTTGAGCATGTTCTTATGTTATACGTTACATGAATGTATTGGAAAAAACAATCACTGAACAACATGATCATTTGTAACCCTCGGGTTTAGTGCAGATTCTGTGAAATAATGACCTCCATGGAAAAATGCACAAATGACTTGCATGCAAGAGTTTTGTGTTTTTATTGCTCTTTTATTTATTCACTTTTTTTTGTATGTATGTTTTAATGTAAAGTGTTAAATTGTATTTCTTTTAATGCTGCTAAGTGGATTGCTCTAACAGAATTTCGTTGTATAAACATTTGCAATGACAATAAAAACCTAACCTAACATGGTGTGATGACAAAATTTTCATTTCGTGAACTGTCTTTAAGAGAGATTGAAGAATAAAAAGGAGCTGTGATTTCATAATTTAATTTTCGAATATTGGTAATCGTTTTTTATCATTATCCTTAAATGTAAATACTAAAGAACAGATCCTGTAGATTTGCGCGGTCTGGGAACAAACTAATTCAGACAGACAAACCAAAATAAACTAGAATTAATGTATATGGAAAACGACATGCATCTGATATCGTAAAACAAACATTCATACGACAAAACACATATACACAAACCTTTGAAAGTCAGTGAATTGTTTCGCTGCCACATGACGACACAAACGTGATGGAAACCGGATGTTGAGGATTTCAAAATAAAAGTCGCTGACTTTGCGCCTTTTCTTAGCGAATAAAGAAATTGTACAAAACCGTACTTCATAAATCGGACGAAACTTACGTCAGTTTCACGAAGAAAATGTATTATTTGAAGGACAAAATGTGAGCCTTATGCCACTAAGCATCTCCGAGCACTGTGTACAATGAGGCGTAATTCAAATAACAGGTTACTATAATAATGTAGTCGAAAATTTTAATTATATAACACTATATTCACTGCATACATAATTAGAAAGTTAGAATTAGAAAATCACTTTCAGATTTCCTCATTTACTCTTACAATGTGTGCTGTCAATCAAAAGGCCAACACTCATTATTATCCATCTTTATTTTACAATACAAAACATCTAAAAATCAAATATGAATGTACTGTGAGAGAACAGCAAATATCTAAAGTAAGACGCCATCGTTATCAATATGCAATATTCAAATGAGTCTCAGATTTTTCTTCATAACCATGAGGATGATAATCTGCTGCAAAAAATCTGGTTCAACTAACCAGGACCCAGTATGTATCTAATCACATAGAATACAAACGAAAACACAAGCACTCACATCAAATACATCCAGTATATTTACAGTAACCAAATCTGGACATTATATTCACTACTTCAAGAGTATCCAAAATATATGCTTTTTGAAGATTAAGTTCTGGCATTGAGCACTTGCTTTGAAGGACAACACTGTACACAGTTTGATGGGATACAAAAGCTATCCACCTGAGAATAGTCATACAGACAACTGGGCAAGCTGAAGCAAGATTCTTTCATTGTCCAAAAGGAAATTCTGAATTAATAAATTCATGCTGGTTCTGATCTTACAGATGAAATTCTTTCGAAGATTCCAGCACAAAACAGGTAACTTTGGTAAACGCTGAGGTGAGAACTACTCATCCAGGCCCTCATCCAGGCCCTCATCCTCTTCTTCCTCCTTCTTTGCGTCAACCTCGGTTGTGTCGGAGAACTCATGAAGGAGCACATACTCTCTGCTGCTGAAGCCAAACTTCAGCACGTCCTTCTCTTTGAGCTCGTAGTAGCGCTGAGGTTCTATACGCTGATTGTTCAGGTAGGTTCCATTTCCAGAACCCAGATCGATGATATATGGCTTCACTCTCCTGCCCGTAGTGCCATCAGCCCGTGTGAACTCCACTAATCTGGAGGTGATAAAAATCAGATACAAAAGCTAAATCATTATGCGAGGGAATTAACACTTGAATTCAATAATATCTCTTTACATTTTTTAAAGTTGCAATGTAGCAAAAATAGCGACTAATCTTTTTTTCCCTACTGTGCTGTACATTGAATTTCATATTATGGAAAAAAATACTATGGAAGTCAATTGATTGACAGAATTATCATTTTTGGGTGAACTATCTCTTTAAGCATTTATTAAATATCTTTTATTATTGTTCTGACCTGTACTGAAAAACAGCATGCTGTTTGGAACAAGAAGGGTGGTCGATAGGAATGTCTGCAATCTTCCTTTGTCTTCCAAGTAGATACGCACTCTGTCTGTGGATGTACATGACTGGAAGGGGCTCGTCATTCTTAAAGGGATATAAACGCCATCTTCGTTTAGGTATTCGGGCCTCGGGAGGCTCATTATACTTGATCACCTCCCCCCTGAATGTATTGGTATCTTCCACCAAGGCACCTGATAGTTCAAAGTTGGGCTTTTCCTTCTCCACTGCAGGTGCAGAATCATCAGCCTGTTTACTGCCGAACTCATGTGCCTCATCACCACTGCCACTCTGAGCCTCTTGCCTGAGACGATTCTCCCGCCGCAGTTCATTATGCCGCTCCCTCTCAGCCTGCTGTTGCTGTTGTAGGTGGGCATCCCGTTCTCTTCCCCTATTCCTGTCCTGTTCTCTGTCTCGCTCTCTTTGCCTTAGCCGCTCTCCCTCCCTTTTCATCCTGCGATCATCTGAATTATCCCTTCTCTCACGATGCCTATGACTTTCGGATCCTCTGTGATCATCTTGCTCCTGTAATGAAAACAAAACCTCCTTAGTTAAAACCTCTACTTAGAACACCTTTTTAGTTGCTCTCAATAATAATAATCATAATAATGATTACATTTTTAAAATTATTACATCATAATAAATGTAATATAAAATGCCTTAAAATTAAATATATTCTAAAATAATTTAAAATGTTAAAATATATACATAAATGAAATAAAATTATACATTTTACATATATATAAAAATATAACATATTTCTTAAACAAAAACATGCATGTGTGTGTATTTATATATACATAATAAATACACACACATACACTATGTAAACACAAACTTTTATTTTGGATGCGATTAATTGCAATTTATCGTTTGACAGCCCTGTATGTATACATACATATTTCTTATATATATATATATGTGTGTGTGTGTGTGTGTAACATGTTGGGTTACATAAGTGTACAACATAACATTTTGTAAACAACAATGAAAATTGCTTATTTAATATCCTAAAATATCAACAATTTAACATATACAATGAAGCAATAACAACAACAACAACTACATTAATGTTTTTAAATTCCTATTAAATAAGATATTGTAGCCTGATACATATTAAAGGGTCAAATTATGTTTAATTGTATATTTCCCCATGAGGTCCCCGCATAAGTATTTGTGTCAAAGCCCTCTGTGCTCTTTAACCCTTTTAAATACAGCTTTTTCGTCAATTCATGATAAAGTCTAACTTGTTAGCCTAAGACAAGCTGATATGTGATATGATATGAAACTCACCCGCTTTAACCTTACGTCAGTGCTGCGCTGTGGGCTTCTACTCCTCCGAGCTCGAGGTGACCTCTCCTGCTGTCTGCCCGATGAACGGTCTCTCCTCGCTGGCGACCTGTCCTTTCTCCTGTCAGGTGATCTACAAATACAGTTCACGAAGCATCTTGTAGGAAACTACTGACTACAAATAAAACGACTTGTTGATCATCCCCACATAACTACAATGTGGTAAACGAAATATCCAGTTAAAATAGGAGCAATCTTGTTTATTCGGCTGAGCGGTCATGAAGATAAACACAACAGGCTGTGGGGTATAAGGCGCTCACCTGCTGTCTCGTCGTCTCGGTGGAGGGCTGTTGCTGCCTCGGCCGGAGCCTGAACTGGATCGGCGAAGGCGCGGAGGCCGCGTGGGACTCACTTTTTCTTGCTTAATTTTTGTCTTTACATCCCGGACAGGAGATTCTCTGTGTCGTCTCCTGTTGTCCATTACGAAATGAGCTTGCCTATTAGCTTCGTAAAAAGTAAAAGTCGTTCATACCAAAGGGGAGCATGAAAACAGATTTAAACCGCATTTACGAAACTTCCATGAACACTTCCGGTTCGAAGCTTGTTCGCTGAAAAAATGTGTCCTTCCTTTGAAAAGCAATTTAGTTCCGCTTTCTTCAGAGCTTCGACGTACAATTTTAATAGAGTTTTTAGATAAATGAAACAAGAGAAATATTAATAATATACAATGAACAACATACTACAAATTTTAACTTAAATAAATGAAATTATGTAAATAGCAAAATAAATATGGAAAAAAGAAAATTAAAATGTATAAAAAGTGTCAGAGCTGTTCAAAAGTTTGGGATCATTAAAGTTTTTAATGTATTTTAAAGAAGTCTCTTCTGTTCATCATGGCTGCATTTATTTGCCCCAAAATACATTACCATTACTTCAGTGTCACATGATCCTTCAGATCATTATCAATGTTGGAAACAGTTGTGCTGCTTTTTTTTTTTTAACCTGTGATACTTTTTTCAGGATTATTTGATGAATAAAGATTTCTATTTTAAATAAACGCTGTTCTTTTAAAAGTTTTATTAATCAAATAATGCTGAAAAAATATCACAGGTTCCAAAAAATATGAAGCAGAAAAATGGTTTCCACCATTGATAATAAATCGGCATATTAGAATGATTTCTGAAGGATCATGTAACACTAATGGCTGCTGAAAATTCAGCTTTGGTCACAGCAATAAATTATATTTTAAAGAATAGAAAAACATTATTTTAAATTGCAATAATATTTTACAATATTACTGTTTTTTGTATTTCTGATCAAATAAATGCAGCCATGATGAGCAGAAGAAACTTCTTTAAAAAACATGACAAATCTTACTGATACCATGCTTTTAAACGGCAGTGTATTACTTTAACATTTAGTGCCACCCAGTGGCGAGGTTTGTCTCGTGTTTTAAAATCTAAACGTTAGAAAAATAAAACAATACAATATATTTCTATGTAAATTATTTTAAAATACTAAATACTTAATAATAGTTATTGTTTTCCCCGATTATTTTGACTGGTTCATATGACCTTTTCAACGGCTCTTTTTTTAATTTATTTTTTTTATTAATGCTCAATAACATAAGAACATTGTCAAGGAATTACATACAAATACATATAATAAAACAAAAATATTACACACAAAAAAAACAAACAAAAAAAACCAATGAAAAACAAAAGATGACAAGGGACTCTGCCATATAACGACAGGTCCCGCTGTAACCAGATATTAAGAATATTTTTAGATTTAATTATCCTAGCTGAAAAGTTTAAGTGTTGTCTTGCCAGAAGATTTTTAGTAATATAAATACCTAGGTATTTCACCGTGGGCTTAACAGGAATATTTTCTATTGAATCATAATTCCCTTTTTAACGGCTCTGCTTGATGGGAAAGAGCAGTTGTTATAGCAACGGGAAACAACAAAACGAAACTTTTGCAGCGTGACGAGGGTGCTCGAATTCTTCCAAATCATACTAAAACACATAATTAGAAACATTCCTGTACATTTTCTTGACACTTCCACATTGTAACCATGATTCTCCCGACTGACTCCTTGCTGAAGTATGATTGTCCGGTGTTGGTGAGCAAGAATACAGAGAGGAAGTCTCCAAGGGTAAGCACAGTTATTGGATGTACGTTATACGACTAAAAACAAACATGCAACCACCGTAAAGTATATCTTGTTGTTGTAATGAAGCCTGAACGTTAGTTGTTCTTATCTTCTCTCACATTTTATTTAGAGTCGCCCTTTGAAAGTGAGTCCCCAACAGATAGTAGAGAGCGGCCCAGTCCCACCTCCACCAAAACCCAAGAGCCCCTCAGCGGATGCCAGCAAACAGCAAACCGAAGAGATCCTTAATGCCATTCTACCACCAAGGTAAAATAAACTAAGAGGTTTATTAGTATATTTATTAAACATTTTCTTTAACTGGGTGCTGATACTATCATAACATGGTAGTTTAGTTGCATATTTGTTTACGTCACACAATGCCTTTAAAAAGTTTGGGGTCAGTAAGATTTTTGACAAATACAAATTTCTAATTAAAATAAATGCTGTTCTGAATGCTGGCTTCCACACAAATATTAAGAAATGTTTACTGACCACCAAATCTATTGGTAAATCTATCTACACAGGTTATTAGAATGAGTTCTGAAGGATCACCTGACAAGACTGGAGTAATGACTGCTAAAATTCAGCTTTGCCATCACAGGAATACATTTTAAAATATATAAATATAAAACAGTTGTTTTAACTTTAACTTAACTTTCACAATACTGTTTATATTGTATATTTGATCAAATGCAACCTTGGTGGGCATAAGAGACATTTAAAAAATTTTAACAGACCCCAAACTTTTCAACGTAAGTATATAAATCTTAAAAATGGTTGTTGCAGGGAATGGATGGAGGACAGCCAGTTGTGGGTGCAGCCGGTGTCCAGTGCTCCGTGTACACGCATGGACGTCATTCATTTGCAAGAACAATTGGACAGAAGCCTGCAGGCGAGGCAGGCCAGAGAGACCGGCATCTGCCCTGTGCGCAGGGAGCTCTACTCTCAGTGCTTCGGTAAAAATAGACATATTGCAAATTAAGTGTCATATTAATAGCTCTTGAGATTTACATGGCATTCCCTCTTTCAAATCTCTTAGATGAGTTAATCAGACAGGTCACCATTAACTGCGCCGAGCGGGGTCTCCTGCTGCTGCAAGTAAGAGACGAGATTCGCATGACCATCGCTGCCTATCAAACACTGTATGAGAGCAGTGTGGCCTTTGGCATGAGGAAAGCACTTCAAGCAGAGCATGGAATGGCTGACATGGAGAACAAGGTAAATTATTACTGAAAGCATTATTCCGACTTTTTCTTACATTATTATACTTATATTCTAAAATAATAAAAAAATTATGATTACATAAAAAAAAAACTGTTTATATACATATAAAAATATATATACATTATATATCATAAATGTAACCTATAACAATTTGTAACCGTAAAGAATATCTTTTGTAAACAACAAAACTACAAAGCAAGTTAAAAAACTAAACCTATACAGTGACACAATTACAATAACTTTTATCTTACCTTATATTTTCTATTAAATAAAAATAATATACTTAATATAAATCATGTTATATCAACTTGTTAGCTGAAGACAAGTTTACTTGTGATTATCTTCCTCTTGTAACAGAAAACAAAAACTATTACATACACACACAAAAGATATTTTGCACTTATAATGAAAGTCAGTGGTGTCCATCACATTAGACCCCATTGACTTTGTATGCACACAAATTTTTTTTTCTTTCAAAATATCTTTCATGTACTGCAGAAGAAAGCAAGTCATTATTTTTAAAGTAATAGCTGACAAGCACACATTAAATTCCAATTTTCTGCTCGCTGAGATACAAACTCTTGGTAGATTTTAGAGTTAGAGAGTGAGAAGCGAGATTTGGAGAGGTTGTTGAATGAGCAGAAAGCTAAATGTGAGGCCATTGAGAGACGGGAAGCAGAACGGCGGGAAATTGAGGAAAAGAAGCATGCCGAAGAGGTCCAGTTCCTCAAACGAACTAATCAGCAACTCAAGGTAAAGCAGAGATCATCATAATCATGATTTCTGACATTATTTTTTAGACTCATGTGCTTCCATTTATTTTTTTTAGGCACAGCTGGAGGGCATAATTACCCTGAGGAATAAGGCTTAAATATTATTAGAATAATAACACACTAACTCTCATACTGTTTCAATGAATAAAACATTAAAGCATCTGTTCTGAGTATTTATTTTTTTCCTCCAAATAAAAGAAAAAGAACATATGTAGATAAACAGGTACATGATCCACATTTCAACACTGCAGAATCAGGACATTGACTTAAGTTAAAAGCTCTGAAAATGCACTGTACTGAAATTAATTAGTTGTAGTCATAATGTTCAGGACGATGGCTGGTGCCACAGTATGAATAAAGTGCATTGGAAAGACTGCATCACAGATCAACCAAACCTTCACTTTTTCACAAATCACCGTGATTCCACACCAGATGTTCCAACCTAGCCACCGACTTGACCTTGGAAACAGGGATTGATGTGACTGGGTATCTGGCCAGGTATTATCGCTTAGCTCGTTTGGCTTTCTTGCCATCCGAGGGCATTTTTCTGTTCTTATTCTTGTTCTTGACATTGTGCGTCTCATAATAGCGGACCCCCACTTTCTTCACTTTCTGGGCACGCTCCAGTCTTCTTTTCTGTTGAGGTGGAAAAGTTCAACAGAGAGAAGGAGATAAGTTTGGTCTCAAATTTATGTGATATATCTGGACTGAGGAATCAAGATGACTGAGCTGGGAGAACAGTGTATACCTCTTTAGATGTGAGTTTGGAAGGCGGTGCAGGCTCCTCATCTTCCAGAGCTTTCCTCTTTTTACCCGCATTCACAGCTGGAAAACCAAAACAAGATGAGTGTCATTACTCACTTATTTGAAGCACCAGACACCCCTAATCATTGACACATCTCTGAAAAGATTCTGTGGAATTATTTAGTGAATTCAACTGGATTTGCAAGCCTATTTTAAATATTTTTTATATTGCTGTCAATATTAACATTTAATATTATTGTCAATATTTAAATACTGTGAATATACTCTTTTTGAAAGAAATATGTTGTTCTTGAAAGAAATTCTTTTATTCAGAAAGGATGCATTAAAATTAGTCAAAAGTGGCAGGAAAGACTCTTAAAAAGATTTCTATTGCAAATAAATTCTGTTCTTTTAAATCGTCAAATCATCAAATAAACCTTCAAAAGTATATTTTTTCCCCCACAAAAATATTAAGCAGAACAACCGTTTTCAACATTAATAATAATAAAAGCTTCTTTTAAATTAGCATATTAGAATGATTCTTTGAAGGATCACATGACACTGAAGACTGAAGTAATGGCTGCTGAAAAAACTGCATTGCTATCACATGAATAAAATTAAAATATAAATGATAAAATATATAAAAAAAATTGCAAAACAGAAAACTAGTTTTTCAATTTAAAAGTTCTTTTAAATAAACCTTTTTGACCCCAAACT